TGGGACATGGTATCATGAGGCACCTCTCACCCTTTCCAGTCAGCCCTTATGTCTTTGAGATATGTATTTCGCATCTGTCCGACCTCGAACAGCCAGAGATAATCCCACTTGTCAATATTTTCCTGAATCTGAGTGGCCGGAGGAGTACAGTACCGCATGGCAAATACGATGACATGAATCCAAAAAAAAAAACTGTCAGTCAAACCCTATGAATCAATAAGGCAAACAAAGGAATCACCTCTTGGACTAGAGCCTCTTTTTTGGCACGACCCTTCTTCTCCGTCTTGGTGAGGGACACTAGAAAAGTGCGAGAATAAGTACGCTGATTGGATTTCGTTCGAAAGGTCGAATGATTCCAGCTCTTATACCTACCGACTTTCGACCGTTTTGATTTTGGCATGGTTCAGTCGACTTGATAAAAGAGGTGAAAACGCTATGAACTTGTAATATAAAGAGGCGCTTATGCGAAAATACACCCTCTAGTCGTTTTTAAGTCACAGTTGAAGCGAGTTTTCGACGCTAGTGACGATGCCGTGAATAAGGTCGAATGGTGGTGGGTTCCCGCTTTGGTCCTTCACGCCACCCAAAATTTATCACCCGTCTCAAGAATCGATTTCACTCTAAAGGCGGTCACAAAGTGAATTAAATTTATACAAAAGCTATTTCACAAGGTTTGTGAGATACTTCCGTATCTGATGGAGCTGATCTCTCTGATACTCGGGCTTTGCCTAATGTGTAGATTTACACTTGACGGCCCGGAAACGTATCTCATTTCATCTACAACCTCTAAATCAACATGTCTCAAGACTTGCTCGAAGTGACGCCCGAAAAGTTGACAGAGTTGGAGAATACTCTCCTCAATACGTCGGGCAAAGTGTCGTTGGCACAAAGATTCCGTGCATTGTTCACACTGAAAGCTGTCGGAAAGTCGAATGAAGCCGTCGTGGATATTATAGGAAAAGGTGCCTAGTCCCACTCCACCACTCTCTTGCCCATCCCTTTCGTTAGCGCTCACTCCTCTTCTAGGGTTCAACGATCCATCTGCACTGTTGAAGCATGAATTAGCCTATGTGCTAGGGCAGCTCCGAAAGACCTCTGCTTTGCCTGTCCTTACCTCTGTCCTCCGTGATCTATCCCAGGACCCCATGGTCAGACACGAAGCCGCCGAAGCCATTGGTGCCATCTCTCAGCTGGAATCAATACCTATCTTGGAAGAGTACTTGAACAGAGAGGGGGAAGATCGATCTGTCAAGGAAACGTGCGAGATTGCACTTGACAAGATCCGCTGGGACTGGGGAGCAGGCAAGAAGGCAAGAGCAGACAGGGACAATGACAGTGACGAACCGAGAGAGTTTACATCAGAGGACCCTGCACCTCCTATGGGTTCCGAGGATGGACCGGATGCCAAGCAGACGGCCACCAAGGCCAAAGTGGCCTCTGAAGAGGAGATCGAGGTGTTGCGCAAGACACTTGTCGATCCCTCCCTCCCACTCTTCACGCGTTACCGAGCCATGTTTTCTCTCCGCAACCTCTCGACGACCCACCCATCTGCCGTTTACGCACTGGCGAGCGCGTTCACGACCGAAGAGCCGTCTGCCCTATTCAAACACGAAGTAGCGTTCATATTCGGGCAAATCCTGTCACCCCTGTCTGTGCCAGCGCTGATCAAGGTCTTGGAGGACGAGTCTGAGAATGAGATGGTGCGGCATGAGGCCGCAGAGGCGTTGGGCGGTATCGCTACTGACGACTGCTTGCCGGTTCTGAAGAAATGGATGAAGAAGGAAGATGCACCCACGGTGGTGCGAGAGAGCTGCATCGTAGCGATTGATATGTGGGAGGTTCGTGTTTTCTGTTGCTTGGTCCCATGAGCCTTTGCGGTCAATGCTCACGTTTCTTCTCTTCATTAGTACGAAAACTCAACCGAGTTCCAATATGCAAATGCCCTGACGGGGTCCACTTTGCCAGCTCCACTGCTAGCAGCGTAAACGCGAAAAGCACGCGGCCGTCCCTGTTCGACACGCTCAAAGACCAAAAACCAAAAAAACTGTGATAGTGGCGCGGAATTGTTCTTATTCGGGTC